TCCTTGTCTCCCATTCCGTGCTCTTCATTTTTCTCCCTTTCTTTTGAGAGAAAGAAAAGATGGGGACGTGGTTTGCTTTGCTAGGAAAGTGCCTTTCCACTTTCACATTTGTTAGATTAGGGAGGAGGGAAGTAAAGTAACAGAATGCAGACTGGATCTAGAGTTAAAAGACTTGGGTATAAGCTCCAGTTCTGCCACTAATTGTGCTTCTTAATGCATCAGGCTTAGTTTTTTAGTTTGTAAAAATGAAGATTATAACAAATACCCATTTTTATCTCTAGAGGATTTGTGAGGAATAAAAGAGACATTATATATGAAAATGATCTGTTTAACTATAAAAAAGTGCTTTCCATTATAAATGTAACACTTCTTTGTTTTTTATGCCCTCTGTTCCTGGCTCCATCAGAGACATTTGTTACTTCGAGATTATTGTTTCCTCAGGTCACTATTCAGTAGTACTCTGCTGATAGAGCCCTGCCATGGATATTATTTAATCTTCAAGTAGTAACCCCCAGTTTTTCTTATCCAAACATGTCTTAATTTACTGTACTAAAAGAAAAAGCCTAAACTTCTATGACACTTTTTTCTGTCCTAATCATCTAGAAATTGTGTAACTACTTGTGATTTCTATGACATGATTGCACTGAAATATTATTTTCCCATCAAAATACTTTATTCCTAGATAAGTGCTAAATAATCATGATGCTGTTTCTGTTCGAGTGACTATCAATTTAAATATTTAAAAAATCTGTAAACTGATTATTAAAACTGTTACATATCTTACTAGAAATTCTCAAACCATGAACTGGTATATTTTTAAAAAATCAAAATCATAAATATACTGTCTTCAGTTAGTGCAGATCATAGCAATTCTTTGACCAAGCAAAGAAGACACACCTAATATAAACAGACTTAGCTCCATTCAAACATAGGACTCAAAAATTCTTCTAGTTTTTTAGGAAAAAGTATCTCTAAACAAATACTTGGTTTTGTTGTAATAGTTTTCCTAATGTTTCCATTATCTTACATTAACATAATGTTATCTTACATTATCTTAACAATAATTTTCACAGCTGCAGTCTAATAGCATATGCCAAAAGGACTTTAAAAATCTCTATAGCAATGAATAAGCATGACTTAGAAAATTTATTGCATCTTATAGAGAGAGAATGGCTGAAAATTATCCTAAAATGTCAAGTACAACAAACAGGTTTTTGAAATGTTATTGTATTTTTTTAATCAAAATAGTTTAATAGATTCCACTAAGAAGATACAGAAACATATAGCTCTTAGTAACTGCTGGTTGTATTTAGGCTATTATAGTGGAGTTTCTTCAAAGCCGCATATCCTCTCCTTTCTTTCTCTTTGCTCTCTTTGGAGTTTGATTGTTCCTTGGTTTACATTCTGGATTATTTTCCTCTTCTTCATCATCTTCTCTTTCTTCATGATCAATTTGTTCACCTCATTTTTCCTGACCAACATTATCTACATTCTCATTATCATCAGTTAAGTATAATAATTATTTTGAATACATGATGTAAAAAGCAATCAGGTTCAAACTGTCTGGAAAGACATCTACAGCAACATTTAGTCTCCACATTTAGGAGGAAACAGTAATGGAATTACAAATTATTAACTACTGTTTTAGTCACAGTATAAAGAATCTCATCCCCTTTGTGTCATGCTGCTTCTAATGGTTTTCAAAGTGACAGTCTATCCTTTTTTCTAATCTACTTGGGCACCTTGTGCAACCCATAACTTTTTTGGCTTTGTCTTAATTTCTTAAATTGATTTGTAAGCTCATTAAAGATAGAAGTGGAGTGGAACCTTCTGTGTAAGGAGGAAAAGTAATACATGCTTATTTATGATTACAATCTCTGCCCCTTTCCATTTACTAATCCTATTCTCCATTGGTAACCACAGTTCACTTTTCTTCTATGCCTATACATTAAAACCACAGAACTTTTGTTCTATTTATTTAAAATAGGATACTTGATCTGCAATGACGGTCCTTTACATGATCTGTGTAAACATGTATCATTTATCTTCATTCTTAGTAAAGTTATATTGAGAAGATAAGACCTACAAACAGGTTTTTTTCTCCATGAATTACTTTTGTGACTTAATACCATATTTAATATCAAAAATACATTCAGACTTCCAATTTAAGGTTCCATATATTTCTTCTGGATTTTCCCTGCCCTTTTTGTCAGGTTGTGAGAACAAGGACTTTCCATCTATAAGATGTTTGTTATAGCCCCTCTGAATTAGAGCTAGCATCCCTATCAGGGTCCCGGAGAGGGAGGAGGTTTCAAACCTCTAGGGTAAAAAAGAAGGTGGATTAGGCAATGTATTTGTATGTGAAACTATGAAGATCAGGATGTCCCATTGGGACAACTCTTCAGAGATACTTTTCTACCTTAGTCTGGCTGCCCAGGGAAGATTAGAACAGACTATTAGAATGTGGTTTGTGTTTGTAAAAGAGTACACATTCAGCATAGGTTTTCTGTTCACAATATGTCAAACTGATTTTGCTTTTTCCGTTTGTTTAATAGATTTGCTAGGTGTTAGATTGGAAAGTGCTGCAAGCATAGAAGTATTTCTTGATTTTAGAAAAATATGCCAAATAATTAAACCAAGTATTCTAGTATCACTAAATAATCTTTGATTTCTCCTGTTCACTTTTTACATATAACCAAGGCAGGTAAGGCCAGATAGGTTTCATCTACTATGCCGACTTTATTCTATTGGTAGTGGCTTCCTGGAGTGCTGTGTTGAGAAGAATTTCTGAGGCTGTATGTCATCTGATGAAGAGTGCTGTGATTGATAAGTGGTATCAGTTATGAGCATGGGAACAGGGCCATATGAGTCAAATGTTTGGTATTTCTTAGGGTCTATTTCTGAACTCTCTCATCTGTCCCACTGATTTGTCTGTTAAGCCTTTATAATTTTATTTTAGTTTATTTTTTTAGGACAGGTCTCGTTCTGTCACTCAGGCTTGAGTGCAGTGGCATGATGATAGCTCGCTGTAACTTCAAACTCCTGGGCTCGAGAAATCCCTCTGCCTCAGTGTCCCAAGTGGCTAGGACTACAGGCATGCACCACCATACCTGGCTATACCCTTTATAATTTAAATCACTCAAAATAGTCCAGAGATAAAGTTTGATCATGTCATGCTGTTTCTATTTTTCATGAAGTAAAGAAGCTGACACTGGAAAAATTGAGATATTGAATCATTTTGCTTCTACAAAGCAATCATCCTAATTTCTGTTGACTCATATTGGTAGAGGTGACTGAAAAGGAGATAATGCATAAGGATCTTAGCCATGTATTAAGCTTAAGTTTTAACCCTCTGACCGGATTTGTGATTTCAGAGATATTTCTAAATATATGAGACATAACAGCCCTTATCAGATTTGTTATTAAATATAAGTCTAGACTCTGGAAAATCGCTATTTTAGGGATAAAACTGAATATATAGAGAGCTATTAGAGAAAACAGATGCAAGATTAGAACAGCAGAAATAATAATGGGAACCTAAGTGAGTACCTTGTAAGTCTTGAGCATGCATCTCTGAATTTGTGGCTTTTGTGATTTTAGGTTTTGTGAGGAAATGATACAGTTGTATTAAAAGTCATCATGGAGGCTAGGCATAGTGGCTCACACCTGTAATCCTAGCACTTTGGGAGGCCAAGGCAGAAGGATCACTTGAGGCCTGAAGTTCCAGACCAGCTGAACAACATAGCAAAACCCCATTTCTACAAAATAATAATAATAAAATAAAATAAAATATTAGCCAGGTGTGGTGGCATGCACCTGTAGTCCTAGGTACTTGGGAGCCTGAGACAGGAGAATTGCTTGAACCTAGGAGTTTGAGGTTGTAGTGAGCTACGATAACAGCACTGCACTCTAACCCAGGCAACAGATTGAGACCCTGTCTTCTCCTCTCCCAAAAAGTCATCACGGTTATATTCTGAAAAACTCTGCAATGTTTTATGAAGTGTCTCCTCTTTTGGTTAGAATAGAATGTCTGCAAACTGCACAGATGGCATCCAAGAAATGTAAAATTTGATTGTAGTTCTCATAGTGTGTCAAGGACATTTTTCATTTATTGATAATTTAAATATATGTCTTATATTCCAATTATTTCAATATTTGGTTTCATTTGTTTATATAAAACAAAGAAGCCATCTTTTAGAAAATATCTTATTGAAGACATTTTAAATTACTGCTTTAAAATGTCAAATGTATCTCTTTTAAAAATACATGTGCTTTTCTTTGAGTTTAGTACAGTTACTTAACAAAGATACACTTTCTGAAGAAAAGAATTGAGTTTTCTCCTTCAGTAGTAAAGGGATACTATCTCCTTTTAAAATTAAATCCATAATATATCCTAATATTTTAATTTAGCTTTTTTTCTTAGATTGTTAGGAAAAAAGTGTTGCCTGATAGCAGTGAAGATCGAGATACAAAAGAAGCTTTAAAGGAGTTTGACTTCTTGGTTACATCAGAGGAAGGAGACAATGAATCTAGAAGCGCAGGTGATGGAACAGACTGGGGTAAGGAATGATACTATATCCAACCAGAGTTGTTAAGTAGATAAAAGAAATTAATGTTTTACCAGGAGGGCAATATCTTGAACTATAATGTTGAACTGTCGAACATTCTATGAACTTATTACTACTATCACCTTTTACCCAGGGTGTGTGTGTGTGTGTTTAAGGACGGTTGTACAATTAGTTACCTCATTTTTTAAAAAAATACAAGCAATATAATATGAAAAGAATTTGAATTAATATACAGAATTTTCTCTGTTATCTACATAGACAGTAGAACTTGCAAATCTAGATGTTGTGGAAATTGAATAAGAGAACATAATGGAGGATTTTGTAGATCTCATCTCTGGCATCTTCTGGTCAAAAAGAAGTATAAGTTAGAAAATTTTAGTCATTCAATCTAATTTAGGTTTTGACAGTTTATACAAGGCATAGTTTTTTTGCTCTAATTGGTCTAAGTGAATCTAGTTTTAAACATCTAATAAGAGTTAAAACAAGTATTTTGGGGAAATTTCTGTAGCCTACATCATGCTAGTAGTTTGGAAATGCATTGTTGCTATTAATACTGTAGGATTGTGATAAATTCTTCAAAAGTGATCAGTTCATCAGGTGTGTGTGTATGTGTGTTAGTGAGTATGAGACAGAGAGATCTCGATTGAGAATGAGAGAAAATTTTCTCTTGAGGTTGAAGAATTCCAGAACTCAGAGCTTATACTCTGTGTACTTTAAAGACAGATAAAGTTAGAGAATCAGTAACTATTCTCATTTTTCCTTAGACCTTTTCTTTGGGGCCAACTGAAAATATATTAAACTTTAAACTCTGAATGTTTTATTTATTTGAAAAATGGATAAAGTTATTTTTTCACATTTGTAATTTTTTAAATCCTACTACATAGTATAGTTCTGCTAATGATAACTTTCTACTTTCAAGGTTTTTTCAACACTAAAGCAAAGTTTTAAGTATAGTTCATCTTTGTTTTAGAAGTTGTATTTTTATTACATCTTACGCATTTTGTGTAAAACAAGATTGTACAATTTCCTTATGAAGGGTTTAGGAAGCTAGTTTTCCAAGAAACTGATTATAGTGGGGCAAAGTAAGTAACAAAATATTCTTTCTGTTTGGCTATTCTGACACATTAACTGTTGGTCTTCTCTTTAGTGGGCAGATTTAAAAATCAGGAAATTTTTTACTTCTTTGAGGTAAAAGGGATGAATGTTGGTTTCCTTTTTTTAAAGTGCAGAGCATATTTTGCATTTTTAGATATATAACTTCTGTAGTATCCACACATCCACAGGATAAATGTGACTAACTTAATCTTCCATAGACTTAATTAAATAGTTCATGACAGTAGGAATTACTTATGTGCTACTTCACTAAACCTTTTTAGAAACAGTATTTAACATATTTTAAAATTAAACATTGTTTAGCATTCTTTAGTGTTTGAGAAATGTTTGCTACATTTTTCTGCCACTGAGAAGTTAGAGTCCTTATACAGAAGAAATAGGATTATATGCTATAATTTGATATTGTGATTTACTTTTCAAGAATTGTGCTTTGGCATAGAGGATAGTTGAGAGGCAAACATGTGGAAGGTTAAATTATTCCTATTTGTTTTGAAATTTTTTACCAGTCTTTGGTGTTGCCTCTGCAAAAAATTGTTTGCAATTTTCTGACAGCTCTTGGTGTGATTTTAGAATGCATTAATTTTCTAATTCATAAATTATATTTACTTATTTCAATACAAATTCATGGCATTGTACGTGTGGTTGTATAGAAATCTTAGTTAAAATATACTGAAATGTTAATGAGAGCATAATTGGAATTTTAACTTTAAAATTTCTGATTTCTTTTAAGTTTAAGATATTGATCTTTTTGCCAGTCTTTGAGAATTTTAACTAAAACACAGAATTACACTGAACAATACTATGGATGAATCTTGTTTTTAAAAAGTTGTTAGAAGTGGTTAGAAATGGTGTATGTTGAAGTAATTTTCTTTATCATAAATTTTCACCCACTTTTATTTGAGCTGCTACTTTAAATATAGATTATAGTATACCTTTAAGAACTAAAGGTGCAGTTGAATAAAAAATTAGATAAAATGTAAACTTTAATTTTTTTTGGTATAAAGTAAGTTTTAAAAATTATATGTGTATACAAAAAAATATTGATAAAGATGTCTTGATTCTCTGTTAAAATTATATGTACAAATAGTCTTAAGTTTATATTTAAATTTTTATGTAGCTATTTAAGATGAGACTTATAGTTTGTGTTGCTTTTCACCCATTGAAACTTGAGAACGTATGATAGATTATTTCAGTAGACGCTAATGGCCTAATAATTTAGGAAGTATTTATTTATTGAGAGAATGCAGTGTTGCTAATCATTTTGATATTATTTTAAGTTTATCTTTATAAAAACTTGCATTAAGTTTTCTTAAAAAATGAACCAATGGTTTCTTATTTGAAGTAGATGTTCCTTTAAGTTAACATTTTGTCCATAAAGGTAAAGGTAGCTACACACTTGGTATGAAATTGTTTTACAGAATTATTTATTATTATTCAAATGTAGATACACCACATTTTGAACTTTTCATCTACTTTTGTCCAAACACCTACATTAAATATAGATTTCAATATAGCTTCAAGAACTAGAATAGGCCAGGTATAGCTCGTTCTTGTACTCTTAGCACTCTGGGAGGCCGAGGCAGGAGGATTGTTTCAGATCAGGAGTTTGAGACCAGCCTGAGCAAGAGCTAGACCCCATCTTTACCAAAAATAGAAAAATCAGCCGGGCGTGGTGGCATGCACCTGTAGCCCCAGCTACTAGGGAGGCTGAGGCAGGAGGATCACTTGAGCCCAGGAATTGGAGGTTACAGTGAGCTATGATGATGTCACTGCACTCTAGCCGGGGGACAGAGAGAGACTCTGTATTGATTAAAACAAAAAACAAAAACAGAGATCATGACACTAGAACACAGGTATTACTTCTGTCCAAATGTTTTTTAGTATCTTTTATTGCTTAAAATGAAGAACTTTTTTATATTTTTAGTTACAAACATTAGAAATAACTTACTTAAACCCTAACTTTTTGTGTATTTCTTTTCTGAAAGAAATATAAAAGAATTCTAAAACCAAAAGGAATAACTAAGATACTTTTTCCTTCTCTCAGTTGTGTAAAAATTTTTTTGAAATTTTTTCTCCTTTACACTTGCTTGGTTATTATATAGTGACTGATAAGCAGACTTTCTTGGGTAAGTTCAGGGAAAAAGTACCAATTTTGTTTTGTTTTGTTTTTGAGACAAAGTCTCACTCTGTTGTATAGGCTAGAGTGCAGTGGTCTCATCACAGCTCGCTGCAACCTCAAGTTCCTGGGCTCTCATGATCCTCCTGCCTTAGTCTCCTGAGTAGCTGGGACTACAGGCATATGCCACCACGCCTGGCTAATTTTTGTGTGTGTGTGTGTGTGTGTGTGTGTGTGTGTGTGTGTGTGTAGAGACAGGGTCTCACTCTGTTCAGGCTGGTCTGGAACTTCCGGCCTCAAGCAGTTCTCTTGCCTTGGCCTCCCAAAGTGCTGGGATCATAGGTGTGACAGCCACTGTGCCTGGCCTTGCCTAATTTTTTAATAAACAAAAATAGATTTTTGTATAATCTTTTATTCCTACCTGAAACACCACACAATGAAAATAATTTGTGATCACCTGAAGGAAAGAAATGTTCTTTCTCTGTTAATTGTAAATAATTCCAGTAACACAAGATCTTGAGGAGATACTATGTTGATTTTTTTTTTTTTCCACTTTACATTCAAAGTAGACTTCCACTCCCCTTTCTTTTATCAGAAAGCATTATAATGTTAGTGGCATTTGTTGAATCTTTTAATGACCTTTCCTGTTGGGATGTTAAATTGCTACGGGTTCAATATCCCTAATCAAAAATTCGAAATCCAAAATGCTCCAAAATCTGAAACTTTTTGAGGGCCAACATAATGCTCAAAGGAAATGCTATTGGAGCATTTTGGGTTTCAGATTTTTGGATCAGGAGTGCTGAACCAGTATAATGCAAATATTCCCAAATCCAAAACAAATCCAAAATCTGAAACATTTCTGGTCTCAAGCACTTCACATAAGGGATACTCAGCCTATAGTTGCTTTCTTTTACTTTTGTTGGACCTTCTCATGAGAGGAAGAAACTGATTATATTTCTAAGCCTAGATGACTTCTTACTGCCGTTTGTACTCACTTGAAAAATACTTTCTAGGCTGGTTGGTAGGTCATTAGCCCTAGAATCATTAAAAAATAATTTGTTGATGCAGTGATAATATTGATAGTAGTAACTTACAACCATAGCACACAGATTTTTCATCTGCCTTTATTTTAACTTAAATCATGTAAATTTGCCATTAGGGTAGTTAACCCTTTAAGATCTTACCCTTCAGGGACTCTGTCATGGTGCCAATGCCACTTCTTTTCTTTTTTTGTGGCAAATCCTTGAAGAATTATTTAAGATAATTACTTTGTCATCGAAGAAAACAATGGCTATCTAGTGAGTGACTTTTCTTTCAAAAGAACAAAGTTTGGAACCAAGGGGAAGTTAAAATGAAATGGGTCTGTCTTATTCCCTACTGAGCTTATGTATCATGTTACTCATATTTTAAGCAACAAGTCTACCAATATAGCTCGATCTACTCGTGCTATACTGAAGTCTTTCCCTGAGGAATCACACATCTGCACAGCTGTTAGATGGCCCTTTTCATTGCCAGTCTTATTGCAGGGGTACTTGGGATTGGTTTTTCTCTGAGTACAGCTGCACTATCCCTTGTGTAACTTCCTTTACTTTAATGTGTGAATCACAGCCCAGTGTATTATACGATACATATGTGTACATTTTAACTTAACCTGCTATATGAGTCACGTGAGTAACTGTTCTCACAACTGAATTGTCTTATTGTTTAGTAATTTGCTAGATAGCTCTGTTAGTGAGTATGAGTCAGTGGAATTGTTCAGTTGACTGGAGGTTTCTATACCAGTAGTTTGGCCTGTGTGTTTTCAGGATTTTATAATTCAAATTTAAAGCATTCACATCTAACAATTTAGCAAAACTAGATTGCAAATCTTGTTTAGTTGAATGAACATTTAAACCATTTTAAGTGCTCCCTCCATCTCTCTCCTATCTATTCCCTCAAAAAAGAGTGATATGCTTAGGTTAACAATCTGGTTAGTTTCTGGCAAGTTAAATAGATTTTACCATACATCTTTACTGATCTTCCATTGCTATTGTTTTTTTGAGTCTAGTAAGATTATGATAAATTTTTACCTCAAATTTTTACCTAAAAAACTAAATTTTTCCCTCAAAAAACTAAAGACATTCCAGAATCCAAAAGCCCCTCGGTTTAATTTATTATTAAGAACTAATTGATGAAAAATAACATTTTTAATTGTTATGTCTTTCTGGAAATATAAAGATTATTTCTACTATTGGTAAATTATAGTTAAGTATAATACATAAAGACATTGAGTTGTTTAAAATTGTTTTTCATAGTGTTATATTTGGTGTTACAGTTTTCTAAACTGGATTGAAACTTAAATTAGGAAAATTGATTTTCGTTTATTCTGATTCATTTCAGTTTATTCCAATCATTTATTCAACAAATGTTGATCAAGTGCTTTCTATGTGCCAGGTCTTCTAGGTGAAGATCCCTATTCCTCTGGTGCTTACAGTCTACTAAGAGGATATAGGCAATAAACAATAAATATAATAAGTGATATAGTATACCAGAAGGTGATAAATGCTATAGAAAATAGAAAAAGTAGAACAGGATAAGGCAGATAGGGAAAACTGGGGTCAGGGTGGGGTGGGGAGAGGGAAGGTTGCAATTTAAAATAGGGGGGTCATGGTAAGGCCTACTGAGAGGGTAACAGTTGACTTGAAGTTAATGAGGGAATTGGCCATGTGATATCTAGGGAAGAAGTGTTCAGGAAGAAGAAAGCCAGAGCAAATGCCCTAAGACAGCAGCAGCCCCGGCATGCTTGAGGAATTCAAGGAAGCTAGAGTGGCTAGAGCAGAGTAATTCTAGAGGGAGTGTAGTAAGAATTAACTATATCATGTACGGCCATGTAGACCTCTGGTGAGATGGGGAGCCATGGAAGGGATTTGAACATAAGGGTGACATGGTCTGATTTTATTTTAAATCATTACTCTGGCTGCTGTGTTGAGAATAGACTACCCAGGGCAACCAGTGTTGATAATAGACTTGAGGTTAGGGGGACAATTATTGCGGTAATCCTAGCAAGGGGGATTGATCATCGTGATCAGAGAAGCAATGGAAGTTCTGAGAAGTCAGATGCTGGATATGTTTCAAATGTGGAGAAAACAGTATTTCTTGAAGTATTTAATGTTGGGAAAGAAAGAAAAGTTTTTGGTCTGAGCAAATGCAAGTATGGAAGTGCCATCAAATGAGGTGGGGAACTTTGTGGATGGAACAGACTGGATGGGAAGACAGATTGAGAGTTTGGTTTAGTTTGAAATATCTGTTAGAGATCCTAATGGAAATGTAGAGTGAACATTTTGATAAATGAGTCTTGGGTTTAAGCTAGAGAGGTCTGAGCTAACATTTACATAGAGTTGTATATAAATTATTTTATAATAAATGTAAAATATATAGCTTCTGTTTACTCTTTAAATTTTCTTCTCCTGATATAGTGACAATTGATTATTGAGTTTCTTTTCTACTAGAAGCTCAGTTTCCTGTTTTAAGGATTTATAAATTAACACATTTAAATTGTTTTAAATTGTAGTCTGGGCATGGTGGCTAATGCCTGTAATCCCAGCACTTTGGGAAGCCAAGGCAAGATTGCTTCAGCCCAGGAGTTCAAGACCAGCATAGGCAACATACCAAGACACCTGTCTCTTTAAAAAAAAAAAAAAAAAATTGCCAGGCCCAGTGGTGCATGCCTGTGGTCCTAGCTACTCAGGAGACTGAGGCAGGAGGATCGCTTGAGCCCAGGAAGGACTTAAAGGCTGCAGTAAGCTGTGATCGCACCACTACACTTCAGCCTAGGCAACAGAGCTGACACCCTGTCTCAAAAATAAATAAATAAGTAAATGAATAGTTTTAAATTTTGAATAAAGGTTAATAAGTTTTACAAAATGCTATTTACAAAGCCTGTAAAATAAAAATCATTGTTTATTGATGAACACATGTCAAAAATATAAAATTCTTGATACGATAAGATTATTGGAGATTATTTTGTATAATCGCTCTATAATAATCTCTCATCACGTAAATTAGTATGAAGTGTTTTTTGTGAATCAGTCCTAATATTAATAAAATTTTGAAAATGAGTGATTCTTGATTGTAAGTGTTTGGGCATGATTTACTAAAAATCACTAAAGTCTTTCAGGTGTTTTTTTAATGTCTTTCAAGAGAAATTTATTATTATTACCTAGGAAATTGAATTGATCATTGTTTCTTAGCTATTACATTTTGTGTGACTTATATATCTAATAAATAAGCAGTGACTGTTTTTTTAGTGATACTGTGAACAAAATTATTGTTATGTCATTCAGTCATATTGACTTAGAGTGTTCAATATTTTATTGAAAAAGGATGTTTCATTTGTTTCACTCTGTTTAGAAAAGGAAGACCAGTGTCTCATGCCTGAAGCCTGGAATGTGGACCAGGGAGTAATTACCAAACTCAAGGAACAATACAAAAAGGAGAGAAAGGGGAAAAAGGGGGTGAAGAGTAAGTGGAAAACATTGTATCTGTAAATCATAAATCTTGCCTCTTCTACATTCCCCAATTTTTTTTCAATGTTTTCCTAAAACTACTTACTCTTTTTCATTTCTGCTCCTGATCTCTTTCCTTTCCACCTGCTCTCAGGGGTTGAAATTAAATGGTTAGCTATTTGATTATGAACTTAAAAAAAAAAAAAAACACATATCATTATGGAATCATAATAAATCCCAATAATAAATCCAGAGCCTCATGAGGGTGTTGGGCTATGTATTCAACCACAGTGGTAATTTGATTTTTAAAAGTATATGTGCTTAATTATAACAATGATTTTTTTCAGTGACAATTTATAAAGCTTATCTAGTGTGACCCTCTGGCAGTCCACCAAAATTATTATTTATAATTTTAGATCTTGAAAAAAGAAAGTTAATTTCTACCCCTGAATATTCCATGTGCTCATAACACGCAGTTCATTTGCTCTCACCACAATATGCTATACAGGACACAGAGTCAAATATATAATTTTTAGAAGTATTTATTTTCTAATTTAAAATTTTGGCCAATTTCATTTTTAAGAGTATTACCAATTACCTTTTTTCTTTTCAGTAAAATATGTGCCACATCAAAAACAAAAGCCAAAATGAAATTTTTAGCCCTGTGAATCATATATGTGTAACTCTTTTATTATGCAAATTATTAATGAAGTTTAGCAATGGACTTAGTTAAGTATGCAAAATGGAAATATAAAAGCTTTCAAAACATTCCTGAAAACAGTCTTAAACATCTTTTTAGGAGAACAAAGCTAAACTACCTCCTTGGTCATCCACCCTCATTGACAATATAAATGTAGGCCTGACCTCCCTTTTATGGCAATAGGAATTTCATTCTTTGAGATATGAAAGTAGTAAAAAGTAAGATTAAAATCAAACTTAGGCTGAGCATGGTGGCTCATGACTGTAACCTAGCACTTTGGAAGGCTGAGGTGGGAGGATCACTTGAGGTCAGGAATTTGAGACCAGCCTGAGCAAGAGCAAGACCCCATCTCTTCTAAAAATAGAAAATTAACCAGGCGTGGTGATGTGTGCCTATAGTCCCAGCTACTAGGAAGGCTGAGACAGGAGGATCGCTTGAGCCCAGGAGTTGGAGGTTGTGGGCGACCTATGATGATGCCACTGCACTCTAGCTGGGGCAACAGAGCAAGACTCAGTCTCCAAAAAAAAAACGAAAAATCAGACATGAAGAAATATATTTTAAAATTGCAAAAGACTGGAAGGATATGTTTTTCTTTTTCTCTTTTTATAGTTAAGCTAAAGCTTATTAAACACTAGTCATTCCTGTTAGGATATTCTTTTATAATCTGGGAGTTACTTTAGAACATTTAAATCTTTGCTTAAAATATCTTAGAATTTACAAATATTTAGCTCGACTTGATAAAAAGTCAGTATCCATTATTGATGTTAGCATAGTATCAATCAGTATACATACCAAGAGATGATGTCATTTAATGCTAACTCAATATAGGTTAAATCAGAGTGAAAAAGATTAATATTAAAACATAAGAACAAGTACATTTTATCCAAATATGCTGATAAGAAATTTAATCATAAAGTGAGACATAATTTGTCATGACTTTTAAAGCCATGACAAAACAAGTTAAATCAAGAAAAATTTGGATATTATACATGAGAAACAATTTCCAGATTAACTTAATGTTGAGATATTTCTTAGGTCATTATGCCAAAAAAATGAATGTCTTGAAATGTAAAACATCTTTCTATTGGAAGGGTAGCCAAGACTTATGTATTATAGAATCCATCTACTCTTACATTGATTATTCAGTTCTTATCAAATATCAAGGCATCACTGTAGTTGGAATTTAACACTTAACTAAAACCGCACCATTTGACTGGAACAATATTTCTACTAATAGAAGCAATTGGATTTCCTGAATCTAGGGGTTATGATCTGTGTTCAGGCATATGGCACATGGTTTTTTTAGTGAAGAAAAATGACTCTTTAGGGGTGAAATGTCTTTCACTAAAGATAAGGGGACTGTAGACCGAACTTCACATTTTATCTATCATCTTCAGTTCATGATAACTTGATAAAATAGTGATCTGGGAACAACTAAAGACTTGTGTAAGTAAAAACAGAACTGAAACAAAGCTTTGAACTAGTATGTGAAACATTAATTTTTAAAACACCATAACTTTTATTTAGTTGAACTAGAAAGTTTTTTACCCATTAGAAAAAATTTGAGTCTTTTTCATTTGGTCTGGTGGAACTATTTCCAGTCAAATTGTGTACTCCAGTCATATTATCTTGAAATATATTTCTAGACATTAGTTTACATTGCTTTAAAATAGTTGTATTCTTTGCTGGTATAGGAAAAAAACATAATGGACTATGGGTAAGATTTTCCCATTCTTAATTAAACTTGTAACAGGAAAAACTACCGAAGATCTGTTTCAGCCTCTATCCTATATAAAACAGTCAAAACAGGGATGTGGGAGAATGAAGAATCAAAGCTCAGGTAAGTAATTGGCAGGGCATGAGACTTCACCTTGGGTATGATAGCTTCAGGATGTAAGGCAAGGAATGTAACTTAATTTAAGCAAGCAAGCAGGAGTGTTAGTGTTTAATTCAGTACATCATAGGTTCACAGTCTGTTATCTGGCTGCATTTAGAGCAAATGCAGTGGTTTCATTATAGAGTATTATTACTTTTAGTGGTCTAAATTGGACAAGAGCAGTCTTTCATGTATGTAAATAGTGATGTTACTCCATTAGCTTAATTTTA